AATTTTTTCAGGAGAATAGTCTCAAAAAGAGCGGGCGATGCCGCGGGCTTGGGGTTGTTCAGGGATTGCAATCCCGAGACGAGGATGGATATTGGGTAAACGGCCGATCTGAATGATGCTGGGTGACGATAGACTCAGTTTAGAGCCAATGGCAAAAAGAAACTTCAATTGTTCGCAGGCCTCCCGAATGCATTGATTTTGATGGAAAGGATGAAGCTGCGTAGCATCTAGGAATGAGTGTCGAGTGGACGCCAACCAATGGACCACGCGAGCGGTTGATAGTATTGTACCCATTTCATCTTCTTTTCACTGAATGGATGATGGTGGAAAGGGCCCCCCCAGAGAGGATAAGGTCGGCGAAGTAGATCTAATTGTCAAGAAACCAGTGAAAGCCAAGTGTCTTAATCCCAGTTGTCCCGAACAGGTCGCCAGAGTTGAAGCCCGCCCGAGTAACAACAGTGGAGACCGGCCAGAGCTGCAGGAGAAAGCGGGCAGCACTGTCATCAACGCTGCACGCCAGGTCCCCGGGGCCCCGCCGTTCCTTTGGCCGAAAGGAAGGAAACCCGCTGGAGCTTCCCGCAATCAGTTTAAAGCTCCAAGCTCCGACTCCCAAGTTTCTTAGCTACTCCCGTCACCGAAACGCTCTCTATTCGCTTCCGACGGTCGCGGAATTCCAATCCAATTTGACCAAAGCTCGTTTTTAGAACCTCTCTCTCCCCCCCCCCCCCCCAAATAAGGCAAAAGAAGAAATGGCCTCTACAAGAAGCGTATGCGCCAACGCCCTCCGCGCGAGCAGCCAGCTCGCCCGCACCCCGACAGCGGCGGCTACGACGAGACGGTACTTTGCTGCCGCGGCGACGTCGACTTTTTCGGCCCGCGTCGCTTTGGGAAAGACCACCACGATTCCTCTGCGTTCGAGGGCTGTTGCTGGTGCTGTTGCTGCAGTGACGACAAAGCCAAATGCGACAGCGGCACGCTATTTCTCCTCGGAGAAGGAGAGGGTGGAGGACGACTACCACCAGATCTCGGCGAACGGGAGCAAGATCTGGGACTTTGAGCAGATGGCGGAGCTGGCCAAGGATCCCGGCAACGTCGTCATTGTCGGTACGTTTGTCACGTAGCTGATAACTCATGGGGGGGGGGGGGAGTGTGTTTCTCATTCTGTCTAAACTAAACGCACCCGTTCTACCAGATGCCCGCGAGCCGCACGAACTCGTAGAAACAGGCCGCATCCCCACCGCGCTCAACATCCCCGTCGCCACGGCGCCCGAGAGCTTCCTCATCGCCGACGAGGACTTTGAGGACCGGTACGGGTACCCCCGCCCGAGCAAGGATACGGAGCTGGTCTTTTACTGCAAGGCCGGCGTGCGGAGCCGGGCGCTGGCGACGCTGGCGAGGGATGCTGGGTGGTCCAAGGTCGGGGAGTACCCCGGTAGCTGGCTGGACTGGGCGAAGAAGGGGGGAGAGGTTGAGAAGGGTGGCAAGGGGATCGGGCAGGACTGAATAGCGTCTAGTTTCTTGTCACGCGGTTGGGATGTATGAATAAAGTCTTGAGGCGAAGTGTCATACGGTATGGCACGGCATGGCAATGGCAAGATAGACGGCGACTTTTGATCATGATATTCGTTGTACAGATATGGTACATGAAACCCTACACTCCGGCGGATGACACAGCATCCCCCCATATTCGAAGAGTAGACAAAATGCAAGTGATGAGCTCCTTTCGCACGCTCTTCTATAACAGTCTCTGAAAGGTTCTTCTAGTGGTGACTTTGCAGAACCCCAAGTGTAAATCAAAAGGTGGGAGGCGCTCCCTCGGCAGGAGGGTTAGCGGGCGCAGCGGGCGGCGCCGCGGGGTCCTTGCTCGCGACGGGGCTGCCGTGGGCGAAGAAGAGAATCTTGATGGCCAGTGAGAGGCCGAGGTGGAGGGCGACAACGACGACGAGCAGGATCTTGCTCGTCTGATGGTCGGTGGCGCTGAGGACGGGGTAGAGGTTGCGGAGTAGGAAGGCGACGGAGAGGCCGCAGCCGACAGCGACGAAGACCCAGTTGAGGATGTTGATGGGGGACCAGCTGATGAGGGCGACGGGGATCCAGATGAGGTTGGCGTAGCCGTACAAGGCCCACTGCTCGAGGAGGTTGGCGGACTCGGAGCCGAAGTAGCGCAGGGCGAGGTAGAGGGCGACAGGGACGAAGAGCGTGTAGCCGTAGATCAGACCAGCGGCGCCTGTGAGGAGAATTGCGTCAGTGATCGTCATAGAGAATTGTAAGCTATTTCAACAAGAAGCCTTACCACTCAAAAGCTTGAAGTCGTAGGCAAACGGGCCTGACCCTGTGCTAGCGAGGTACTGGCTGATGGTGCCGCCAAGGAAAAGGATCAGGACGACGGTCGTGGCGATCCAGAAGGGGCCGTAGAGGTCGGGATTTCCCTCCAAGACATCGAGGAAGTTGGCGCGCGGGTAAAGCGCAGCCCAGCAGCGAGAGAGTACGGCGGAGGTGTCGACGTCAAAGTACTGGGCGTAAAAGTTGATGCTCCAGAGGAAGCGCTTCGAGGATCCTGACGACGCTGTCGCTGGCGGCGGGAGGCCTGACGCAGGCGCCTTGCGAGTTCCAGGTGTCGTGTCATTGAAGTTGGAGCTGTGGAATTCGAGATCATCCTGGAGGTCGGTATGACCGAGGTCACCCTACGAAAGGAAGTGCGTTTAGTCTTGGGGGCGTTCGCGAGGAAGAAGTAAGGAAGGGAGCTCTCACCTCGTCGTCCACGTCCACGACGGCGTCGTATCCGGACCCAGACCGTGACATAATTGGTTATCGAAGCTGAGAAGAATCCGCCCTTGGTTTCCGAAACTACTTTATGCCTCTCGTCGAGTTGTGGAAATGGAGCTCTGGGCTGTTGGGTCGTCGTCGTTGGAGATCGTAAAGTCGGACAGGTTGGGACGTTCGATACGTGTGTACGTACGAATACCTAGAGCTTTGGACAAGGTGTCGTAATCCCACATACGCAGTTTGGCCCTGCAGCTCCCTGGGAAGAAAAGTCTCCACTAAGGGACACACCCCTGTAAGAGCCACACCAATGTTGCACTAATGCGGATAAATCGCGTCCCAGTTTTATGCAAGCACACGCCATTTCACTCTGTGCGCTCAGAAGAATTTCGATAGATGCATTAGACACTATCTGATAAGATCACAATCACGATGTTCACATGCATGACGTGCATCACCAAATTGAACGACGCATGGTTCTGAGGCTCTGTATTTCGCTACTGTGCTGATTTTCCACTGTAGTCAATGGAGCATTGTGAGGCAGGTCAGTCGCCATCCCGCATCCATCATAGTACGTCTCTCATGCTTGTTAGCATCTCCATGCTGCACTCAGGACGCCTAGGCGCGCTCTCTCGCCGAACGATTTTTCTCTCAGCCTCCAAACATCATTTTGTTGATGTACGACAAGGCATAAACGGGGTAGTCCGGGTTGTGTTTCCTTTTGACATTTGAGGTAGGAGGGCGACCAATTCAGTTTTTATTCGACGAACTGCTTGCCGATGGAAAGTAATGCTACCACAAAGCCCAGGAAAATTCGTATCCCTGCCATCCTCTCCAGAATGCCAGAACCCGTGACGCCGCAACCGTAATGAATCGTCTATTTGAGCTTCTTCTTGGGGCGGAGCTGGTTGGTGTGACCGCACTTGCGCTTACGGCAGTTGGTCGCACGGGGGGGAAGACGAGCCTATATGATTCCATGTTAGGTTTTGCTTGGGTCGCGCGGCCGACCTTAGTTGGCGGAGGATGAGAGTAGAGGCTACTTACGTAGCACTTGCGGCAAATCATCTTGTCGCAGTTGAACTTGGAGGCAAGAGCCTTGAGGGAGGGCTCAATGATACCACCACGGAGGCGGAGGACCAAGTGGAGGGTGGACTCCTATTTGGTGTGTCAGTTTCCATGTCTCCTTGACCCATCACATCTTCAATATCCCCAGCGGCCCGGATGCTTTTCTCCCCCTCTTTTCAAATGCCCCGCGCAATGAGACTAACCTTCTGGATGTTGTAGTCGGAGAGGGTGCGGCCATCCTCAAGCTGCTTGCCAGCGAAGATCAGGCGCTGCTGGTCAGGGGGGATGCCCTCCTTGTCCTGGATCTTGGACTTGACATTGTCGATCGTGTCGGAGGACTCGACCTCAAGGGTAATGGTCTTACCCGTCAGGGTCTTCACGAAACTGCAACCACCATCGTCAGTACATTCGGCGTCTTCGGACTTCGTCGTCGCATGGAAATAGATTTTATTGCGCTCGGGATCGGGCGGGAGGGGTGTTCGGGGTTGGCTCACATCTGCACTACACGCAAAATATCGTTAGCATCGCCAAAAACCAACAATCAGAGCAACGGCGCGCAGCATGACGCCGTCTCGTCGTGCAGGGGACTCTCATCACTTACTCTTGCCGACGTTCGTGAACTGGCTGTTGTTACCGAGAAAGTTCTGGTGATCGCGGCAAATAATTGGTGGGGCGGGCTTGAGAATGAGTGTTGAGGTTGCGGCGCGAGCGACCGACAAGCCCTAATTAGGGCACGCGGGTACGGACATGGTCCGAGCGTCTGAGTATGTGCAAAAGTGATCGGGCTGTGAAGGGCACCCTGTGGGAATTATGGGTCTGCCCAGTGTCGCCCACCTCACTCTCAGCCTGCAATGACTTCAACAGGCTCATTCTCCAACTATCTTAATACTCTACTATCCTTGCACTCTCTCCCCGAAATAGTGCATATTTGGGAATCGTCACTAGCCAACACAATATGCTTCGGTACGGAGGGCAATAAGGACATCATACGCGGTTTCAAATCTCGCTTTGGACAAAGACTTCTTTCTAAGTTAGGGGTATTTTAACGCCGATGATTCCAACTTGTCCACTCGTGCCCATCATAAGGTGATGAGAGCACTTATAATCTACCAACCCCGGTTTCTTCAATTGGGCGTACCAGAGACCGTAATGGCCTTCCTCCAAACGGAACATTACTCAGTGTATGTCGGCTGCTCAGTATCCGACTCCATAGGCACGAAAGACCGCGATCGTTCACGTCTTTCGCTGGCTGCTCTGCGTTGCTCCTTTTGCCAGGTCACAATATGGCCCTCGAGCATGTTGACAGCTCGCACCAACATTGGAACGGACAGCCCTGCCAGCCGCGCCGCCAAATGAAAGAAGTCCTTGCCTATGGGAGGAAGATCCTCCTCAGATTTGTACGAGTGATATCGACTGATTCGCAAACTTTCCTTCCCATGTCTGTCATGTGCATCTGAGTCGATAAAAGATGCGGCCTGTGTTTGGATATCGCGCAGCCTTCCGGCCATCTCATCTCCTGTTGTCTCGGACACTGTTTGTTTGGGGACTTGCTCGTCTACGGGGAAGTATCTCGCGAGTAGTGTCTCTTCGTCTAAGTTGTGGTCAGTTACTGGATTCAGCAAACTCAAGTAGACATTGGCTTACTTCGTGTTTCAGTCAGCAGTGAAAGGTGTGCAAAGTACTCATCTAGCTCTTTCGGGCTCATCGATGTGATCTGAGACGCCGTAACGTCTGTGTAGTCAACGGTAGACGTAGCTTCATCTGGAGCCAAGGTTGGAGTCATTAACCTCTTCCACTCTTTCCAGTCAAGCTTAGGCACGATGAAGTTGTTCTCGTCTTGGGAGGCTGGCATGTTATCCTCGAGCGGAAAACAGTGCATCGCAGCAAAGACAAGGATGGTAACGAGGAGAATTTCTGGCTGGTTTATGAGACGGATTCGGGTCTTCTCTAGTGGAAAACTGAAAGTTAAGTTGGCGATGGGCGGAACGCGGCGCGCAATCGCTACCGTCTCAACTGGGAGTTGTCAGTCGAGTCCATCTTTTGGTACGGCTGGAGGACCTACTAGGCAGGCCCAGCTCACGTGCGTACTGCAATGTCATCAGGACATCGTTGAGCGGTGGGAAGGTCATGCTGTAATTGAGATGATAAGACAAGGCCAGATTCATGACTGAAGCGTGCAGTTCTCCATTATCGAACGCAGCAAGGCTTGTCGACTTGAGTGGTGTCGTATACCAAGTTGGCAATCGATCACGCATCTCCTGAGGTAGCTGGCGGTACTGTGACTGGTTAGGGAACATTCAAATCCGGTTGAAGGCAGTACCAACAGCTTCTTTGTACGGGATACTCCCCCCTCTTGCCCACTTGCAAATGTCACCAATTCGCGTAGGTATCCTCAGCAACATGCACCCCAGAAAGCAAAGGCCCAACGTGTCAATCATTCGGGGTGCCGGCCACTCGCTCCCATTTTCTCCTGTCCAGCTTTGTGCTCGTCGGTTCCGAGACTGGTGTTCCTCATCCTGTGCGAGGTCGAGTTGCGAGCTGAATAGCGAGGGCTCTCCCTCCGAGGCCGAGTCATCCTGAACAGCTGTCGCAGCTCCGGAGATGCGAAGATCCCAAAGATCGCGCACAACTGTCTCTAGTTCGGGCTTATGTCCCTTTACGGTGACTAGCCAAATCAACTGCTCTCTGAGGATAAGCTGCAAGCACTCAAGATACAAATCTCGTGCTTGTTGGCCGGTAAGCACTCGTCTGATTCGCTCCTTGGTTTGCTTCTCCTTCCGAGCCACACGACCCTTCTGGCCGAAATCTTCATCGCCAAGGTCAAATTCAACGTATCCCTGATTTAAAATGTGAGCTGCGGCTCATCATAGGAGATGAAAAGCATAGCTTGGACAAACTTGAAGCTGGTGGCCTTCTTTGGCGCAGAATCTCAAACCATTTTCGAGATACCATTTGCGAGAACCGCAGAATTCACAGCGTTCTCCTTTTGGAAACTTGTGAAGATCCCTCTCTGGAGCCATGGTGCTCTGACAGATATGTTGGTCGTACTTGGTTGAAAAGTTGATCTGGGCAAAATCGGCATCGGATTGGTGAAGTTTTTGACAGTGCGCGGTGTTTGTTTCTCGGGACGCACCTTTACCAGGCAGGCGGAACCTGGTAGGCAGTTCGTCACGAGAGAGCCCCCAAATTATGTTATTCATGAAACTGATACTTCAAAGTGCTCACGGGGGACTACTGAGTCAACGGATGTCAAACTTTTAGTTTAAGGAAAGTAGCATTACTGTATGGCATAGCTTATACATCTGAGTCTGGCTCACTCGCACTAACAATTCACGATAGTCAGCCTGGCCATGGCTACGCCGTCATCATGAAAAGGAGCTGACCAAAGCTTCACAGGTCTTACAGATGAACGAGATGCGGCGTACAGATGTAGGAGTAACGATATGTCGGCTATAGTCAAATCACTTTCATGGACATTACACATTTGGCGGTTTCACTAATTTTGTACGTTTAGTTTGAACGAAAAACAGAGACCGCGTGGTGGAGATATGTACCGCTTTTCCATCGGACAAATCTGCTGCCACCGCGAGGCTCTCCCATTTTTTTTCACCTATCCCATTGCTAGTCTGATCGTCGTTAAGAGTCTGTGGGACAGACAAAACAAAGGAAAAAAGTCGTGCGACATGTCTTGCAGTTGTCAAGTTCGCGTACCCAGTATCAAGTCCTGTCCAGATATAGCCTACGCAACGACTGACGGGGATACCGTTAATTTCGAAGCGCCAAGAAATATCGCAAGAAATGTCCCCAGTCTGCCAACATCTGCCAGCAAGGCCGCTTGAATTGAGCGCTTGTGGAAGTCATTGTCTGATGATATGGTAGAATTGCAGCGCTTAACCCTGCTTGGGGGCCTCCTTGGCCTCAACGGCGGCCTCCTCACCCATGGCGGTAAGAATGACGACGTCTGGAGTTCTCAGTTAGTTATGATCTCTCTTGTGTTGCTTGGCGAGCTTGTCGTCGTGAGGGGTGTGAAGTCTTACTGGTGTCCTTCTCGTCAATCTTGAAGAGCTTGTTGATCTTCTCACCAATCTCGCCGTCGGGAAGACGGACATCGTCCTTGAGGTCACCATCGTCGTTCATGAGGGAGAGGAAACCATCGTCGGAGATATCGATCTGTGGAGGGTGTTGTATTAGTATACAAGGACCATCTCGAGAGTGTGAAAAGACTTGTGGCAACTTACGAGCTGGAACTCCTTGCGGGAGACGTTGGGGACGTCCATGTTGTGGGTGGAGGGAGAAAGATCCTCAAGCTTCTTGCCGGTGAAGATGTCGATGGCGACCAAGTGAACCTTGGCGTGGCCGTGCTTGCCAGTCTTGGAGGTAGACATGTCGACGATCTTGCAGGGGCGGCCCTTGATGACGACGTGACCGTTCTTGCGCAGAGCAGAGCACTGCATGGGGAAGGTGAGAGACGCACCGGCGTCGGTGGACTCGAAGGTCATCTCATGCTGTTGGGAGACGATGTGTTAGCGATTTGGCCAACTCAAAATAAGTACGTCGTTCGGCATAATGATATGGCAGGAGGATGGGATCGAAATTGGTGTGATATTTGATGCTCGTATGCGTCGTGTGTTGCCCGAGTTTATGTGCAGAGCCGTGGTGCGTTGAAGCATCCGCGGGGCTCTCTCGCCAATGTGGATGCGGGGTGGTCGATTTTCGCCAAAGCAACCGACATCGATCGCATTCGACAGCCACCACCACCAAAAGAGACAGGGCACGGGGGGGAGTAATAGAGCTGTCGCAAAAGACTCACCTGGGCGTCGTCGTTGGACATTTTGAAGGATTGACTGGAAGATGTCTAAAAAATCGAAGGGAAGATGTCGACAGGCGGAATTACCCAGCAAAAGACGGCTGATATTTTTTTGAAGGGGGGAGAGTTGTGAAAGGAAGAGAGCGGGCAGAGGGGGGAAATGGAGGGGAAAAAAGGAAGGCGAGGCGGGAGTAGATAATTTTTTTCCTGGTTTTATTATTGGTTTTTTTCACTCCTAGGCCCAGATTCGCGCCCCTCTCAGTCTCTGTCCGTGGCTTCCCAAGCGTTGTGTGGGACAGGTGCAGGGAGCACTTTCGCAGTGAAAAAAAGGTGGAGTGTGGGCTTTCTTCCCTTTCTTTTCACAGATTGAACCTGTCAGGCCCCTCCCCGAGTGACATTGTCGCCGGTGGATGACTCTGCGGTGAACAAAGTACCCATCTAGGTTCTCCCGTCTGCCATACCTACCTTACCTCTGGGCCTTCTTACGCCCAACGCACCACACCACGTACCTTAGGAGCTGGAGCTCCTTTCCCGCAACATCTGAACGCCACTTGCTCAATATTTAGGCCGCTGACCGCCTGTGTAATGCCCCTATCTGATCCAGCTGGGCACGCCAGGCCAGGTCGGCGAGGGTCCATGGTTGAAGGGTTTGTCTCCCAAGGACTCAATCGGTCAAAATGACTTCTCCTTCACAGGGTTACCCGAAGGACAATGAAGCACATGGGCACAGTCCACCGGCCCTGTGGCAACAACCTTTTTTTGGGCGCTAATGCCGCCATGCCAAAACCTCGCGGGCCAGTAACCCTTGCTTCTCTCTGCCTTACCTGCCATCCTCGTTGACCTCCGATATTAGCCTTCCACTTTGGCAAGAGAAGGTCCGGACTACGGGAGTGGATTTTGACGGTATGCGCCGGAGTTTCGAACAACCTGACAGGAAGCTGTCGTGCCTGAAGACCTACCCGACTAGGCAAGATAGATATATCCAGGGATATCATTGTGCGGACATTGTGGCAGGTTCTTCCGTACCCAGTTCCTGTATCTAAGAAGAGAGCTCTGTGAGGTTTACGCACCCATTCGCGGACAAGAATATGCCTTCACATTGTAACATGCAGGAGCTTCCCTCCGAGACAGTCCCAGCAGTCCGAGCTACGGTTACCTTGGAGATGTCGCGGATTCTGCACAACATGTGTGCAGCCTCTCTCCCATCCAGACCAGACGCATCAATGGGCCGTTAATTGCTCTTCAATCGCCCATCCAATGTCCTGCCCCGCACGTTTCCAGGTTGTTTGCCGCCGGCCCTCACTCACAATTCTGCCCCGCACTTTCCAGACTTCGACCCCTCGAAGACAAAGGGCCCGACCCCTGCCGCGCCACAGGAAGCTCCCGTGGATACGTATCTTGTGGCTGGTGCTTGTCATCGATCGCTCACCCAATGAGAACACGTCGCTCTCCTAAGGCCGTCCAGCCTTGTCTACTGCCTCCTGGAGGTAAGGTAGCACAGGTAACCAATGCCACAGGTGTACATCTTTCAAAGAAGCCAGACGCCGATCCCGCGATTCTACAACACCATCCGTGCGATTTGCGAACCCTCGATGACATGGTGCTCCGTCCTGTCGACCACATCGCTTCTTAGCTTCTCCATACCACAAGTCCACCATGTGGCTTGATCGACTTGCAGCGCAGTCGAACTCATCTCCCTCAGCGTCGCAGCCTGGCAGCCGGCCATACTCTCCTCTTCCGCGACGAACCTCAAGCAGCCCCTATGTGACCTCTCAACGACCTGGTATCACACCAAGAGGCTCACAACTTTCACTCGTCTCCAACGATTCTTCCAACTCCTTCCTAGCTTCACGGAGAGTCAATGGCTCGGGCTTGAAACAGTCCCAAACAACCTACGATGGACCGGATTCGGTCGAGATCTTGGGCCAGATCCTAGATACAGCGCCAACATCCGAGGCAACAACTATCACAATAAGCGAAAATGACCTCGAACTAGACTTCCAGTTTGAAGGTTTGAGTTTGCGAGAGCTTGCAAGCTCCGATGA